AAGAACTGACACAAAGTGCTTGCATTCGGGAACTCAGACAGAAGGATCCATGATGTGAGGTGCTTTAAATGGCTTCTGTTTTGTCTGGGTAGCGGCTGAGTGTGCACACATCACCCTAACCCTCATTAACAAATAAAACACTACCCAAGCTTTGCATCCCTCAGTTCACAGGCCAAGGCTGCATATATCGTATATTGTACATGGTGGGGAGGGAGGAAAATGAAAAGAAAAATATCCCAACCTCTTGTAGCTCTTCACCTTTTCAGTACCACCGAGAATATCCTGATTAAATAATTGAGAGTAAACGAATCTCCAGGTGGAGAGCACTGACAGCCCATTCTTGGGGAGGGGGAATCGTTGTAATGAGGGTGTGTCGTGGCTGGGAAGATGGCCTCCTTTCTGAGAAGTCTGCTGGTTGTAGCAATGTAATTGGCATCACACCGCCATATGGTGATGGGGACCATATTAATAGAATTACAGGAGTGTCTATGGGGGGAGGCTTTGCTCATAAACAGCATCATGGAAAGAGTACTGTTGGGATGCCATACGGGGATGTCTGTGAATGACAGGGCTAGGACAGACCTCCTGATTCCTAGCAGAGGTGGGGAAGTTGTCCAGAAGCCCCCAGCGCACCCCTTACCTTAAAAAAAACAGAAAGTGCAGCAACTAGAACCAATCCATAAGCAGATTAATTAATTTAAATGTTTTTTTGTTTATGAGATCAAACAATGCAGTCCTTAAGGTCTCGATTACATCTAATGAGTGTGGAGCAGGGTGCCTGAGATGGACGACTGCTCTCTGAAATATATTCAGAAGAATTCACTGTATCAGGTCAGGATCTACTGATACACCCTTTCTCTAATATACTACAGCCGAACTGCATGCACAAAAACAATCACATGGAAAAGGTGTAAATATATTTGCAACCCTGAATCCCACAGTGACAACGTAAAGTAAAATATTTCTGTCCATGTATCCGATAAAAGCACACTTCCAGTTGGCACTGTGTTGTCATTTATAGAACCATTTTGTGGACTAGTCTCTTGGTAATTTTCATAGCATCCCTTCGAAATGGACAATAATCTCCTTTGTTGGTGGTTTCGTTAAACAAGGAGTGGGGGAGACTGACGGACTCAGGATCTCAGGGGTGGAAAGCCTATGGGCCACAGTGGACTTGGGACTTCAGGTTGAGCTCTCCTTCTCCAAGAAGCTTGTTCAGATTTATTCACAGTTATACGGGAAGAGCCAGGGGCTCCAAGTCCCATCCGGAGAGGCTGGGAGGGAGCTCGACTGGCAGTTTCTGCTCCCAGCTAGGAGCGCTAATAGAGAGGATAAATTATCTGTATCTGCCGCGCCAAGACGCACTTGCTGGAGTTTAGGGCTTTTAGGGATAAATATTCAAAATGATAATGTAGTGGCCATCAATCATAATTATTTTAAAATTCAATAAACATTTAGTGAGCACTTTCTTTGTGTCGGGGCATGGTGCCAGGTGCTGAAAAAGCTTGCCTTTATTGAATCCTCCCAGCACTGATATTCCGGGGAGGCGTGTGTGCTCACACTGGGAGGTCGCTGGCACCGGGGAAGGTGGCCGGTATCAGTGTGTGATGCAGTGCCCATCAGGACTGCAATCACTAAGCCCTTCCTACTGTGGTCTTGGTAAGGACACCACAAGCATTCATTTAAAATCGGTTAGGAGTGGACAACATAGAAATGAATGATGTATATGAGATATGGTATCAATCTGGCATGGAGAAATTTGTCTGAATTGGTGTCAGACACGGCTCTATTGGCAAACTGGAATTGCTTTGCCTAGGAAAACGACAGTGGTCACCATAAGCAACATGGCCACAGCCACACTAGCCAGGAAATCAACTCAGTCCTCAACATGATTAAAGAATAAGTCACAACTGTCCTCTTCAAAAGTCACAAAAACAAGTCCCAGCATGACAGAGTGTCTCACCTGGACTGGGCGTTGGTGACAGAGCAGGATGGCTTTCCTTGGAGCAGGAGGGAGTTCCAGGGCCTCCTTCAGTGCCTAGACTGAAGCACTGTACCCGTTTTTATAATTGAGTCCAGTTGGCTTCTTTGTGTGCAAAAGAATGTTCATTTCAGAAGAAAGCAGAAAATTCTGATGAAGCATGCTATAATCTATCATTTGGGGTGAATATGGTTGGTATCATATGCATTCTTTATCCCAGGGCTGAGAGTATATTCAACTGCCCATATTGACTGAGCACTCATCAGAGATCTCAAGACTGGAAACTTGGTTGGAGGGCTTTGGAGAAGCCCCAGGAGGCATCCACAGAAAGGAGAAACTATATTATCCGTGGAGGCGCATCCCTGAAATCCAAGCAGTGGAGAGGCAGAGACAGGGTAAGCCTGGGATACATAGTGAGTTTTGGGCCAGCCTGGGCTGTGCAGCAAGACCTTGTTTGGGAGAGAGAGAGAGAGAGAGAGAGAGAGAGAGAGAGAGAGAGAGAGAGAGAGAGAGAGAGAGAGAGAGAGAGAGAGAGAGAGAAGAGAGAACAGAGGAGAAGGGAAGGGGAAAAGTAGATTCAAAGAGAAAACAAAAAGCTGAACCTGAATTTGGAACCTATGGAGTCTGTACTCAGAGGAACTGGAAAAAAACAGAATCCCAGGCCCAGGTTCCTTATCAAACCATCGGTATAGCATCGGCCTAAGACCTAAAAGCATACTCTCCCCCAAGCTTATATCCTTTTCTGCTAACTTAGGGTGTCCAGTGCAATAGACCAGCTACAAAATGACTGTTACATTGGATTTTCAATTTTTTGCTGTTATACTTTGCTTAGTGTGTTTGTGTGCCATGGTAAGCCTGTGGAGGCCAGAGGCCAGCTGCTGGGGGCCTGTTCAGTTCTTTCCCCCTGTGAGTACCAGGGATCAAATTAAGGTCAACGGGCTTGAGAGTAAGTACCTTTGCCCATTGATCCCCTTTGTCAGCCCAGGTCTGTGTGTGTGTATGTGTGTGTGTGTGTGTGTGTGTGTGTGTGTGTGTGTGTGTGTGTGTGTGTGTGTGTGTGTGTGTATAATGGATTCATGGTAAGAGAAAATTGTCAACATGGGTTAAATCTGTATGTAATGTTTTCCATCCACCATTGGCTGACTACACAGAAGAAAAGCCTTAGTTGTAGAAGGCTAGTGAGTTCTCTGTCTGTTGAGACAGGGCTTCAGGTTTCTCAGGCTGTTCAAGCCCATTGAGTAGCTCAGGATGATCTTGAACTCCTAACCCTGCTGCTTCCACCTTTTGAGTGCTGGGATGATGAGCCTGTGCCAGTACACCTGGCTTTGGCTGGGTGCTTTGTGAAGGAAGAGCAAACAGTCCGTAAAGCCTAGGAGAGGAGAGAAAGGGGCACCAGCTGCACATGCCAAGTTGGGCTTCCCTAATTTGCCCCATTCACTGCACCATCCTGCCTGTTTGTCTAGGTCCCTCCTCCATCTCACAGCCAGGTCCCACAGGTTCACCCACTCAGTGCCACCTGTTTAGCGGGACCCCTCTAATCTGTCCTCCACCACTGACTTAAGACTTCTGTCCCTTTGCCAGGCTCCTCCCCCCTCCATTTTCCATGTGGTCACTGCCTCTCTCACAGACACTCAGTGGCTTGCCGGTGCTCCCTCTCCTCCACGTGACCCTGTGGACTCTGCACTTTAGCTCCAAAGCCTGCACTCACCGTGTTCCCACCTTGGTTTCCAGGGTGTCTCTTAGAACACACCAAGTGGTCGTCTACTACCATTTCAATAGTTTGCTTTCTAGTTAGCATAAAAATGATGGATTTTATATTGTGAGAGATAATCCGTGAACTATCAAAGAAAATGAGAATGAAAAAAATCAAAATGTCCTGCAATATAGCTACATAGATATGATCCCCATAGTAGAGTGCAGTGGATTGCTTTCTATACATTAATATATACTATAAAGAGATAACAACAAGCATACATGGTGTGTAAAAATGATCCGTTGTCTGGTGTTTTTCCCCACCGAGCAATAGAGCGCTAACAGTTTGTCATATCCTTAAATATCCTTAAAAATCCTAAATTGAAGGAGTTATTTTGAGCAAGGCATTTAGGATCGTGCCTGGCACACAGCAGGTGCTCAATAAATGTTGGAACATTAGTGCTCATCATTATTACAACTATTATTATCCTCCAAAAACTTAATGTTTGATGACAGTATGATATTTGATGATACAGATATACAGCAATTAATTTGAAATGTCCCTTGCTGCTGGGCATGCAGGCGGTTCATGATTCTGTGCTCCCGAAAGCAACCCTGCCATGATTAGCTCCAAGTATGTATGTCTAAATATGCATATGCATTTGTGGATTTGTATGCATATATGAGAGAGAGTGTGTGTGTGTGTGTGTGTGTGTGTGTGTGTGTGTGTGTGTGTGTGTCTGTCTGTCTGTCTGCCTGTCTGTCTGTCAACCTGGGAGAGTTTCTACTGCTGGTAAATTTTATGTCTATTCTCTTCAAACTGTTTGAGCGTCTTTGCTGAGATTTGAAACTTAGAGAGTCCTGATTCAAGATCTGTAGGGAAGCTTCCAATATCAAAGACGACAGATAATTTCTAACTATCAATGACAGTGTGGAGTTCAAATATGTCAAGGGAGAGGGACATATTCATTTTGGTATGGCTGTATGCTCACCTGTGTGTGCACATGTATGAGGGTGTCCAATGAAGACACAAATGTGTTGCTAGAGTTTTCCTGCCTGGCCCACAGTCAGGACAAATCTCTCTCACCCGCCAGTCCCAAGCCGCTCAAACCCGATCAAGTAAACACAGAGACTTATATTGGTTACAAATATGTATGGCCGTGGCAGGCTTCTTGCTAACTGTTCTTACAGCTTAAATTAATCCATTTCTATTAATCTATACCTTGCCACGTGGCTTGTGGCTTACCGGTACTTTACATCTTCCTTATCCTGATGGCGGCTGGCAGTGTCTCTCCCACCCAGCTTCCTGTTCTCTCAATTCTCCTCTCTGTTAGTCCCGCCTATACTTCCTGCCTGGCCACTGCCAATCAGTGATTTATTCATTGACCAATCAGCAACACATTTGACATACAGACCATCCCACAGCACAAATGGGTCAGGAAATCTTCCCAAGGTCGTTCTTCTCAATATGTAACACTTGGTCAGAGTCATGTGTTACCACCACTCCCTAGATTCAAACAGTCTTTATTCAAAACTGTTTGTTCTACCCTTGGACTTGGGGCATCACCTTTAATCCATCATTGAGTCACCTATTCAGCCTCCATTCATCCCCCTTTGACATCCACCCATCATCCATCCATCTACTTATTCAGCCAGACAGCTACCCATTGCTCATCCAGCCATCTATCCATTCACTCATTCAACCATATACCCATCCATTCATCCATCTACCCAACCATCCTCCGACCCATCTATCCATCTACCCACACATTTGTCCACCCATTCACCAATCCACCCATCCATTTTTCACTCATCTCATTGCTCATTCATTCCTTCATTGGTTTGTAAAATGTACATTAAATTCCCACTGTAGCCAAAATTAGCTTTAGACACCAAGGAAAATATATAAGTAAAATTAACATTTAAGCAAAATGAATTCCAACATAAAAAAGTTCCCGTCGGCTCCTGATACACATTGCAGCTCTCATTTTGCACTACTTGATCCAAGAAATTAAGACTAACATGATTTTAAACACCATAGCTAAAGTAAATGGGAGAAATATTGGCTCAGAAAATTCCTTGAGAAAATGACCTCCAAATATGATGTTGTTTCCAAGCCCCAAACTCTTTTCCTCTAATCCACATGACATCCTTGGGTACCACTCTTTTCCTCTAACCCACATGGCATCCTTGGGTACCACTCTTTTCCTCTAATCCACATGGCATCCTTGGGTACCACTCTTTTCCTCTAATCCACATGGCATCCTTGGGCACCACTCTTTTCCTCTAACCCACACGGCATCCTTGGGTACCACTTGTTTAAACCTTTCAGAGCCTTTTATACAAAAGGGTCAATATTCTAAAATGTTGCAGTTTACATTATCACTTACAAACTAAATTTATTTTGAAGGCCCATCAAAATATGAATCTTTTTTAATTAAAAAAAGATTTTTATTATTTTAAAATTATGCATATGGAGGGGGTGTGCAGGTGCCTGTGGAAGCCAGAGAGTGTCATTTCCCCTGGAGCTGAAGTTACAAGCAACTGTGAGCTTCCCAAGATGGGTGCTGGGAACAGAACTCACTCTGAGCCACTAAACCATCCCTTAATCCCAATTTATGAATCTTTAACATGAGAGGCGACAATGTTTTAGATAACATATCATAAACAAAAGTATTTTTAAAGTTGAGTCTCTTTGCCCTTATGTTCGTCTTGACATAAACCCATATTAAACTGGGTTTTTTTTCCTAATTTGAAAAGAGAAGAAAGGGTTTAAACATCCCTGATACTCCCTCTCAACACAAAATGAGAGGAAAATGCTATATCGCCCTCTTTTAATTGATATCTTGTTCTTCACTTAAATGACATGTCAGCACAAACTGTCAATTGTCAGGAAGATATTGATATTTTATTCCCATTACTTTTTCACCCGGGTAAGGAATAAAATGTTGAAACAGTGATTATATATGAATCACATTTTATACATCAGAGGTAAAGTGTAATTAGAAAAATAAGTTTTACCACTTGTGACAAAGTCTTACAAAACAGATTCCTCCTCGTGCTGGGAGCTGCGTTTAACTCGAATAACTCAACTAGATGATTTGCAAAAGAGAAGCCACCAAGAATTCCACTTCCAGGACATTCATCTCTCCTGCTTCCCACAAGGAGACCGCAGCCTCTGCCCCTCCACCATCCCAGGCCCCATTGCTCTTCACCCTGACAGGGAATGGAAGGCTTAGCCAGAGGTTTGGATGAGACTCCCTCGGGCTATTGGAACCCAGGGCAGGGTTTTGGGTGAAGGGAAGGTGGAGAGATTTGGGTTGAGATGTCATCTCTGTACCTGGTGTTGGTGTAGGAGGAGAAGGAGGAAGGACTCCTGGGCAGAGAAGCTTCTACAGTGACACAGCCCATTCCTGTTCAGTCACTCACTCTGCCGCAGGTGACTGTTACCCACTGTGCACCTGGGAATCTTATGGAAAATATACATGGTCCAGAGACCTCAATTCATTTAGGGAAGGTTTTTGAGTGATACTATGTGCTCTGTGGCGGTGCAGCACCCTAACCCTGCCTCTCTTTTCCCATGGGGTCCCCTCTTGTTGATGGAAACCCACAACTCAATGCAAAGGGAATGAGAGACTGTTTGTTCTGGAGCTAAATATGAATAGTCAGGGCCCAGCAACACAGATTCGAGTTGCTTCAACTGCCATGTCCCAACCAAGCAACAATTCATGAAGTTTTGTAGTAACAGAATAGAAAAAGGAATCAAGGCATTTTCAATTGCATTGGAAGAAATATCAGGTAGGGGGCTATAACAGAACAGGGAGGTCTCTGCTGTAGACCTTAGATGTTATTCTACGCACTTAGTAGGGGGAGTAGAGGTGGACCAGTCATGGGGATGGGCAACAGTGTGAAAGAATTCATGGGAACCCACTATTCTTCCACTTCCAGAACCCACCATTCCCCATCATTCTCAATCAAGAAGGTGGATCCCAGGCCTTCAAGAAGTGTCAACATGTGAAAAGCCAGACCCCTCTGAACCATCCCAACAGACCATCCCTCATGAGTTAACAAACATCACTGCCACGGTTGAGATGTAGGTTTTTTTCCCACAGGCTCACGTTTGGACATTTGATGCTGCTTTGAAGATGGGAGGACCTTTGGAAGATGGTATCTACATAAGAAGGCGGGTCTCTGGTGAGGGGCCCAACTTGGAGGTTTTTATCCCAGCCCCACTTGCTGACCCACTCAGATGTGAACAAGCAGCCTCACGCTCCTGCCACCACAGCTGAGAGCTGCGCCCATCACTGTGCCTTCCCCGCAGAGATGGACTGCATCCTCAGAGTGTGAGCTCAAATAAAGCCTTCCTCCCTGGAGTTGCTTCTTTTCAGGTATTTGGCCACAGCAATGGGAACAATAGTTCATAGAGTCCCCTTTCATCCTGCACCTCCACCCACCCCACTGCAGGACCATCCAAGCTTGAATTGGGGACTCCATTTGGGGAGACACTGGGTCACCTCCTGCCTTGACCTCTGCCCTTCTGATACTTCATCATCCAACAAGCATCATGATGATAGCTAATCTACCTCAGAGAGGGTGGCTGCAAAATTCCAGTGGGAGCGCCAAGCATGCAAAATACCCCACACTCTGCATAGCAGCCGGCACAGCGAAGTTTGTTTACTGTGACTATTTTTACTTTTCATGTCTGAAGCCCCCTACCCAACACAATGCCTCGCATAATGAAGGTAAGCAACAGATGTTTGTTGAATTTAGTTGGCTAACGATTGGGTTGAATTATAAAACCTTAAGGGAGGAAAATGTATGCTTTTTTTTTTCATTCAGATTTATACTTCCCATCAAGAAAAAGGTTTGTCTCTTCTTACTGTATCTCCTAGGAGGTGCTGAGGTATGGTTGACTTCTTAGCCTAATTCCTCTGTGGCTTTTAATCTTGTGGTGAAGGCTGACATCCAGATAAATGAATGGCCTCATGCCAAGCAGTGACAATGGTTTCTATAGGGCAAGCAGGCACAGAAGGGCCAGGGATCAAATCCCCTTTTGAATACTCCCCTGACTTTTAACTCCCCATGACTTGAAGACCCCATCTCCCACCACCTTACCCTTTGATCCCACAGTCCCACTGACCTCATTTTTGGCCCCCAGCCCAGAAGCAAGTGCCTACTCAGAGCCCCTACCTCTGTTCTCTCCTCCACCTGGTAGGCTCCATACCTGTGGCTCCACCAGCTAGGTGTTAACTCCATGTGCCAACTTGCCTGGGTTAGAGAGTACTCAGGTGCTTGGCTGAGCATTATCCTGGGTGCATCTGAATAATGAGAATAACATTGGAATCCCTAGCAGATCTCAGGTGGGGAAGCTTGAATGCATAGAGCAAGGAGGATCACCTAAGGTGAATGGGTCACCTCAGGCTACTGACTACTGACAGTCTGAACAGAATAGAGGGAGAGGGAATGGGATGTCCCCTCCCCGCTCATTGCCTGGACCCTGTTCCTCCAACCTTCCTACTTGCACAGCAGCACCCGCTCCCCTTGTGCTTGTCAGGGTTCCAACTAGAACTCACGCCATTGGGTCTACCTATTATCTATCATCTATCATCTCTTTGTCTGTCTATCTGTCTGATATATATATATATATATATATATATATATATATATATATATAGTCTTCAACTTCCAATGGCCCAACTCTCCAGTTTTAAAGTAACTTCCAAGTAACTGTAGTTTGTTACACTTCTTGGAAGGTATGCATGCCACAGCACACAAGTGGAAGTCAGGGAACAGCTTTCAGCAGTTGGCTCTCCCTGCCACTGTGTAGGTCCCAGGGTCAAACTGAGGTCTTCAGGCTTTGCAGCAAGTACCTTTACCCACCGAGCCATCTCAGCAGCCACTTTCTGGTCTGTGACAGCACGAAATGGATGTGGAGCTGAGTAGAAGCTGTCCTTTGAACTTCTATCTTTACTTAGACTATTGACATGGGGTCTGTCCCTACCTCTGGGCACTGGTCAGTTGCAGGTTTTGCAGTGGCAGTCAGGTCACAATCATGAGAAGGAATGATGGACACTCTGTGGCATCAGACACACCCAGGGCATGTGACAAGTCTGGGACACCCAGTAGGACAGCTGTAGGAAGCACTTTCTCCTTTATGCTGTCTTAATCTCAAGGGGTTTAATCAGACCTAAGCTCGTGCTCAGAGCTGTGTGCCCGGTTACCCTCGCAGCTGTAGTCAGTCCTATACCTCACCTCTCTCTCTCTCTCTCTCTCTCTCTCTCTCTCTCTCTCTCTCTCTCTCTCTTCCTCTCTCTCAGAAGTCATCAAAATAGCTTGCCTAGCATCCCCACCCAGAGCTTCTCAGGGTTGCTGTGAATAGAGAGGGCAGGGAGCAACCCCGTCCAGACACCTTCCCCAAACCAGCTTCCATCAGATGGACTCAGTGTTTTCATTGGACAAATTCAACGAACGATGTAACTGCCTTTTATATAAAATCACGTTACCATGGCTATTTAATACATTTAGGGAAGGCCTTTAAAATTTTGATTGAATGGAGCATGCTAAACCATGAAACCCTGAGACTAAGGAGGGCCCCTATTGGGTCTGGGAGAAAGCACAATTCTTCTTGGCTATCAGCAACCTTATAGAGGCCTTAGCCCTACCTCCTCCCATCCCTGTTGAACTGAAATCTCCCAAGGATTCCACATGCCGGTCCGCTGCTGTTCCTGTACCCAGCCATGCCCTTCTCGGTATGAGTTTTAATCCTTGCACTAACCCACCCCACACCGTCCTCTATCTCTTCGTGCATCCTTGTTCTGTGCAGGGTTCATTTACAGCAGGGTCTCCTTCCCAGTGCATCATGGAGGTGTACGGGTATATCATGGCCTGCTCATCAGAACCACCTCCCATACTCACCTTCCACCTAGCACCCATCTCTGCCCACTTCCATCCAGGATCTCTGAGTTGGGGTTCAGAAGATGGTTCTAGGGCTTCAGCCAGTCACTGCCAGGCTGTTCCTCCATTGGCTCAGGATGGACATGAGACCCAGACCAGTCCCACTAGAGAGATTCTTTGTTTAATAATTTGTTTATTTATTTTTATTTTATGTGCATTGGTGCTTTGTCTGCATATATGTCTGTGTGAGGGTGTCAGATCCCCTGGAACTGGAGTTACAGACAGTTTGTGAGCTGCCTTGTGGGTGCTGGGAATTGAACTCCAGTACTCTAGAAGAGCAGTCGGCTCCCTTAACCACTGAGCCATCTCTCCAGCCCTAGAGAGAATCTTAAGCTTGACTTAGAGGTTATCTGGAGAGAAGCTTGGCAGTTCTACCGCCTCGAGAACAAAAGTGGAGGCAAAGCCTGGAGACTACAGGACCCTGGGGATCTGCGTCCAGCCAGCCTGAACCAGACCCACCCAGAGCACCGGGGGCCTGCATGCCATGCCTCATGTCCGATCCGTACTTCAGTCTCTCAGAGAAGAGAACCACATTTCCATACTCCCATTCACAACAGAAATTAGTCCTTGTGTGCAATGACAGTGGGAAAGGATATATTGAAATGGTAAGGTACAAACAGAGATGGGAGAAAAGGAGACGGGGGCTGGGGGGGCAGTCGGTGGAGCACAAAAACACTGTAGTGTTAAAGCTCCTCGGCGGGAGAATACAAAAGGTAAATATATGGGACTGAAGAGATGGCTTGGTGATTAACTGCACTTTTTGATCTTTCAGAGGACCCAAGTTCAGTTCCCAGCCCCAACATTGCTGGGGCTCCCAACTGCCCGAAATTCCAGGGGGTCCGACACCCTCATCTCCTCTCTGAGACCACCCACAAGGGCTTGAACACACCCACACAGAGACACATAAAGAAAATAATTCCCATGCAATGAGCACAGGACCCGGTCCCACTGCCTGGATGCCTCCCAAACAGATCAAGCCAATCAACTGTCTCACTCATTCACAGGGCCTGATCCAGTTGGGGGCCCCTCAGCCATTGGTTCATAGTTCATGTGTTTCCATTCGTTTGGTTATTTGTCCCTGTGCTTTATCCAACCTTGGTCTCAACAATTCTCGCTCATATAAACCCTCCTCTTTCTCACTAATTGGACTCCCGGAGCTCCACCGGGGGCCTAGCCGTGGATCTCTGCATCCAGATCCCTCAGTCATTGGATGGGGTTTCTAGCACGACATTTAGGGTGTTTGACCATCCCATCACCAGAGTAGGTCAGTTCGGACTGTCTCTCGACCATTGCCAGCAGTCTATTGTGTGGGTATCTTTGTGGATTTCTGTGGGCCTCTCTAGCACTTTGCTTCTTCCTATTCTCATGTGGTCTTCATTTGGCTGTTTGAAACCTGGGACTTATGCAGGGTCGCTTGGCTCAGCCTGGGAGGAAGGGACTGGACCTGCCTGGACTGAGTCTACCAGGTTGATCTCAGTCCTCGGGGGAGGCTTTGCCCTGGAGGAGGTGGGAATGATGGGTGGGCTGGGGGGAAGGGGAGGGGGGCGGGAGGAGGGAGAACAAGGGAATCCGTGGCTGATAAAAAGAATAAAAAACAAAATAAAAAAAAGGAAAAGAATTCCCTTAAGAAAATAAAATAAAGTACATTTAAATAAGAAAGAAACTCTCCGAGATGCCGGCACCAGGGCCACCACCACTCTACCCCTAGACTGAAGCCTCGACACACCTAAAGCTGGGAGTAAGTAACTATTTAGGGTGATGATGCCTTCTCACGCTCATAGGTACTCACTTAATGCTCCTCAGATGTATTCAGTGGCACGGAAAAATTACATTTAATAACTTGGCTATGCTCACTGGACTAAATTGCCCAAGTTCTTATTTGATGCAATTAGGAAATAACACCATCGAGCAATTTATCAGGTAAAAAGTTCTAGTGGGCACATTTGTCTTCATTTCTGTGTTTCTTACATATCACTTGTCCCCCTTCTGGGAGAAAAATATTCAAACGCATTCATGTTTTTGTATTGACTATGAGGCAGAGCTCCTAAAGACTAATTTTCCAGATTACTTATTTTATAGTTCGTGTCATTAATTCCACATGTGTGAAAAACATATAATTATACCTACCTTATTAGTACTGAATGAAATTCCGTATTTTTCAAGTGCACTAAGAGGTAAGTTGGCACTAGACTTGTGTACACAAATGAGGTTTCTGAACTTTAGAGTAAATTTCAATTATCTCTCTTTACCATCAAAAGTACCCAGCAAAGTACCAGGACTCTGCATTTGATAAATGTTCCTGCTCCCCATACCCTTATTACAGTGGATGCCCCCACGAGGCAAACACCCGTGTGGCATGCAGGACTCCTTGTAATCACACCAATGGAATGGAATGATCCCGGAGGAGCAGTTCCCAGGAACTCCAGCTCTCTGAGATGCACTGTGAGAACAGCACTGTGGAGCCCAGTGGGCTTTGATCTGAAGGCACCTGAGCAAGCTGAAGGCTCTGAGAAGTCCTGTAACAAGGGAGACTATTAGACTAGCTCTCCAGCACACCTTCGTGGTTCTCTATCTATGGGGTCCTGTTACCATCAACAGCCTCCAAGGGACCCTACCAAGTTCACACCAGCTAGAAATGGTTATTACTCAAAGGTCTGGAGGTTTCTTTAGCTGACGAATAAGAGTGTGGTCTGTCTGCCTGTCTATCCTGGGAGATGCTTCAAGGACCCGACAAAGAGTCTCCCCACCCTGTCTTCTTTTCCATGTGTATTATCTTCTTTGCTGTGCACGTGGATAAAGGTCTGTCTTTAAGGCCTCCCTCTGGGCCAGAGAATGTGCTGTTATGGTGACTGGGCCCTAGCTCCTCATTGAATTCAGGGTCACCCATTTGGGCTCCACCCTATGGCCCCTGCAGATGACCAAGCAAAGCCTCTACCTGCTCTGTGCTCTCCTGGACAGCGTCTTCCTTGTGGTGCTGGTTAGTTTTAAATATCAACTTGCCACAACCAGCATAGCTTGGGAAGAGGGAGTCAACTGAGGCATTTCCTGGACGGGGTTGGCCTGTGGGATAGTTGTAGAGGATTGTCTTGACTGTTGCTGTGGGAAGACTTGGCCCGTTGTGAGTGGCATCATTCCCTAAGTTTGGATCCCATACTAGACAAAAGTAGAGAAACCTAGCTGATAGTTAAGCAGCAGGCAAGCAAGGATCCATGTGTCTATTCTCCCTCTGCTGTGGCTGTGGATGAGACGCTTTAAGTTCCTGCCTTGACTTTCCAGCAATGGTGAACTGTTCACTTGGAACTGCGAGCCTAATAAACCATTTCCTCTCCTAAGTGTCCTCTTTTGTCAGGGTGATTGTCACAGCAGCAGACAGAAAGGTAGGTCACTACTGGTTTCCAGAAAGAGAAAATGAAGTCCATAGCAGATGTTCAAAGGGCAAGGACTGAGCCACAGGTTCAGGTGCAGCTGAGAGCCCTTGCCAGAAGTCAAGACCGTCCTCAGCACAGGGCTCACAGCTCTCCCACAAGAAGGTCCCTGGGTGGTAAGGACCAATCAGACACCCTCACTCCAACCTCCTTCGCTCAGCCTCAGTCTTCGTGAGGATGGAAAGTGTGCTCATGTCCTCAGTCCTGGAGGAACGGTGGAGAGAAAAAAAAAACACTTGAAAATGGTACAGGTTCCCTGGCAACTCCTGCGTGACTGGGTCGTCGCTTTTTGGGTGTATATGAGTGTGATCCCGGCAAGAGGCTCAAGTGTCCCTGAAGGGCGACAGCAAGGCTGAAGACTGGAGCCCTGGAAGCTGCTGTCCATGCTTCACCACTCTGGTTCTCCCCTAGTCTTACACACGTTTGCTGTGTCAGCATCTTGAGTGGCTGCCAGGGAAAGGTAGCAACTACGTTGAAAAGGATGAGGCTAACCTGGAGAGGGCAGGCATACCACAGCAGAAGCAGCACTGTAGGTGAGAGCCATCCTGTAACCTAAACGGTTTATGTCCCCTTATTCATAGAAGTCACTAGTCAGTGAGATTCCTCAGAGTGAGGAAACCATGTCAGGATCCAGGCTCTTGTATAGACATGGGAGTGGAGAACATGATTAAACACTTGGCAGACAGTCCCTGCTGGAGAGAGGAGGGTGTTCTCCTGAGAAAGGTCCCCTTCCTACTTACATATCACAGGGTCTAGAGAGTACCCCCCTCCCCCCCACACACACACATACTGGGGTAGAAAAGCAAGCCGTTGTGGCCTTAACTGTCCTTCAGGGAATATCGGCACTGGCTTAAGCATGCTAGTCACCATGTCTTGCCTCTGGAATTTCCCACAAGACTCTAGATGGATCCTTACCAGTAGCCAGAAATGTCCACTCCCCTGCCTCATTCTCTCCCACCATGCCATCAGCTTCAGCCCTCTTCTGGCTGTTCCTAACATTCCTCTGATGTTTCATGTCTTTTCAGGAGTGTGTTAGTTTCCTCTTGCTGATATAACAAATTATCCCAAGTTCAGAGGCTTATTATATCACAGATGTTATTGCCTTGCAAATCTGAAAGTTCTAAGTCTATATAAGTCTTGTGGGGCTTACAGTCAAGACATCAACAGAATCCCCTTCTTTTCCAGGTCTCCAGAGTGAATCATTTCCATCCTTTTTCCAGGTCCCAAAGGCTACCTGCCTTCTCTGACTCCAGGCAGCATCCCCTCACCTGGGCTTCTATCCTGGTATGTACTTCTCAGACTCTCATTACTTGGCCTCCTGCTTATGAAGTCCCTGTGGCCACTACTAAGGATCATCAAAGAACACCTCTCCATCTTCAGGTCCTTCAGGGACTCTCTTTTGCTGAGTAAGGTAACATGTTCACGGGCTTTGTGGTTAAAGTAGTGGTGGGGATCTTATTCTTCTGACCACAATGGACAGGGCCAGAGCAATGCTGGATCCCTTCTGCTAATCAAGGTCTGCTCTTCTCTTTGCTGTCCACCACATTGACAGATCTCTCACTGTCCTCTACTTTCCCAGTAATCCACAGAACGGGGCCCCTTAGACTTGGATGGAGCCATGTGATTGGTCTGGCCAATGAGTTGTAAGCAGAACAATCTGCCCTACTTCCTGGTGAAAACATTGAGTTTTGAGTATGAGGCCTTCCTGAGCCTTCTTTTGTCTCTACTTGGTGCACAGATGACCAGTATCTCTGTGGGCCAGGATCAGATACAGGATGCCTGCCTACATCTGAATTTCAAGAAAACATCCAGTTTTCACACGTGTTTATCTGAAACTCAAGTGGAATGGAGTGTCTAGTTTGCACTCGCTGAGTCTGACACAACCCAAGTGTGAATGAGAGACGAGATTCTGCTGTTGTAGTGACATGGGCGGGGGGGGGGTGTTGTCTGTCACCAGGCATAGACCTGTCCTTCCTTCCCGACGGCGGCCCTTGCTTAGGCAAGCATCAGCACCAGACCAACAGCAGGGAAGCTCAGCCTCCCCAAGCCAAAGGACAAGTGGGGTTACGATCCCAGGAATACAGTTTCATCCACAGAGCCCGTAGCAGCATCGATCAGCAGCTGATTCATTGGCTCCAGGTGCCCACAATGCACCTACTACGTACGCCAGGCGACTAAAGTCTAGGTGCGGACAACTTGTCTGTCTTAAGCTCACTTATCCAGAACCCAGACAGACCAGAGAGATCCAGTCAGTGTTTGTAATACCCAGCAAAACCCCAGGTAGGTGTTTCCAAGCTCCCTCCTTCAAGCATGTGCAACGACATTCATTCCTGATAAATATGTCAGTCACTGAGCAACAGAATACCAGATACCATGTGTGCAGACATCCTGGAGGGTGGAGGCCAGCCCATGAGCTACCCAAAATGGAGCCCAAGGACAGCTACTTTAGCCTTCCTTGGACCTGATTAGAACTGTGACATCTCTTGTCTCAACCCCTCTCTCCCTTCCCCGCCCCTAGATCCTGCCCCAGACCTATGGAGTCCAAATCTGAGTTCTGGGAAGATCCCCAGGTGGTCCATTCAGAAGCATCAAGTAGGAACAGTGATCCTCAGAATTGACTGCACTTTAGAGTAACTAGGAGACTCTCACACGTGTCCCCTGTCTGGCCCCAAACCAAAAGTATCTGACTTAACTTATCTGGGGCGGTTCCCAGCTGCGGGCATATTTTAAACATCCATGCAGTGATTTCAATGTGCAGCCAGGCTACAGAAAGCCTCTCCTCCAGGGGGCCAGGCTCAGCCTTTCCCATAAGGAACACAACAGGTTTGCGAGGCTGAAGGTCACATAACCAGAGCTATGGAGAAAGAGGCATCCCCAAGACGAAGGGCTTGATAACTGGATCCCCATAAACAAGCATACATTCATACAGCCTCATTAACATACAGTCACACGCTGTGTTTATAACGATAGAGTTGCCAAAAAATGGGCGTCAGTAAAACAAACCGTATTGTCACGATGGTTATTATTATTGTAACAAAACTTTAACATTTCCTACCCCTCTGCCAATGCAGTCACAATGCATAATGCATTTGCAATTGCTTCCAGCTGTCTCCTGCTCTATGAATGGGGACACTTTGGTACACGCAGCTTTCAGACTGCCTCGTACATTTGCATGAGAACCTGCCATCTTCCCATTCATGAGTAGAGGTACTCTGGGGAGTAGGAGGTGCATGGTCTCAACCCTGAAGGAGAGCATCCTCTTGATCCAAGGTGGTCCACAAAGCTGCATAACAAGCAGGTACAAGGCAAAGTTGAGTGTGTGTCTGTGGTAGTTTGAATGCAATTGGCCCCCATAACCTCATAGGCTGTGGCACTATCGGGGGTGTGGCCTTGTTAGAGGAAGCGTGTCATGGTGGGGGTGTGCTTTGATGTCTCTTGCACAAGCTTCCCTCAGTGTGACAGACCACTTCCTGTTGCCTTCTGATAAAGGTGCAGCCAGTATCATGTGCCTGTATGCTGCCATGCTCCCTGACATGATGATAATGGACTGAACCTCTGAAACTGTAAGCTGCCATCTCAATCACATGTTTTTCTTCTAAGAGTTGCCATGGTCATGGTGTCTTTTCACAGCAATAGAAACCCTAAGACAGTGTCAAACCTGAAGACCCATTTCAAGATCTTCTTATGCCCCAAGTCCTGGTAAAGTGGATATGCTATCTTTCCCTATATCCTTACCTACAGTAGAGAGGCCATACTGACTATGTCAAGTGACAGTCATAAGATCCAAAGGAAGCAATGCTCAAATATAAGTTGTACAGAAGCAGAAAGGTCCTGTAGCATAAGGGTACTGTGACATGCCACCACAAAGACAGAGAAGCTGCTGTCTCTTAAACCTTTGTATTTCCATGTTTTCTATGCAAAGTTGGAGGGAAAGAAGTCTGGGTGGGATGGATGGGTGGGCTGATGAGAGGATGGATGAATGGTATGTGAATAGACGGGACTGATGCCTTCATGTACGAATGTTGAATGTATAGTTAAGTGAGAGAGATGGGGAGATGGTTTAAAGAGGTAAGCAAAGGGACAATTAGCAGATGAATCAATAGGAAAATGGATGGATTGCTGGGTGCATGAATAGATGAGGTGGGATAAATGTGTAGATGGAGAGGTATGTGAGTAGATACCTGGGTGAATATATGTGTAGATGGTAGATAGATTGAGATGGGTGGATGGACATAATAGAATTTTTTAAGGTTTATATTTATTTTATGTCTGTGAGTGTTTAGACTGCTTGTGTGTATGTGCCCCACCTGTGTGCCTAGTACCTGCCGAGGTCATAAAAGGATGCCAGACGCCCTGGAAATGGAGTTACAGGAGGTTGTGAGCTGCCATGTGGGTGCTCTTCCAGAGGACCTGGGTTCTGCAGCCAGTGCTCTTAACCACTGAGCCATCTCTCTAGCCCTGTAGCTATAAAGAATCTCAACACACAGCCCACATCTCACAGCCCTAAGTCAACCGTTCCAATGCTCACCTGGCGTCGTACAAGCATTTAGTGTGGTCTGCAAGGCCTCTGTTGTCTCCAAAACTGTCATTTCCACACTCACCTTTTCTCCCCCATGCTTCACCCCCTTGGCTCCATGCTGGTGCTCTCCCACCCCCATCCCTCAGATCTTACAGATGGTGGCTGTGAACTACATTCCCCTTAGGATACCCCTTAATCACCCTACCTGGCCACCATCATGTTATCCTAATCTACTATGGGAAATGTTATTGTCCATACTTTCCTGGAGACATAACCTAGATTCCAACTTGCCTGCTAGTCCACTGGGGAGATTGCAATTTGAGCCGGTGTCTTCTGACTCCCTGTCTACTCTTCTCTCTTCTCCAGTCATCAGGGCTGGTCTAAACCAGAGGACAATTTCCATCTACAGCACAGAGGTGCTTACAGCGACGTGACCTGGAAAGCTGAGAAGTGCAGTTACTGAATGCTACTTCTTAGCATCCACACCACTCTGTTCACGCTTGACCCTTGCCTGTGCGGTGCCCTTCCTAGGCTAAGCTCCCAGCAATGCCAAGCATTATGGCTTTAGATTCAAGTCAAAGCCCTGGGATCCCGTTCCATCGTGAGCATTAGCTGGTCAGAAGAGCCCATTAAAGCAGGGCTTCTGCAAGGTCTAAAGCCTTGAATGTTTTTAATTTACCACACTTTTGCTCCAAAACCATTGGCTTTTCTTTGAGTGTGGAGGGACCTATGCTCTCATTTCTGGAAACAATGCTGTAAACAATGTATGTGGTTTCCTTAGGGTGTTTCCAGAACATGAAGATAGGTGTGAAATTGCCCGTACTGAGAATCTTCTGGGCTTTTTTTCTCCCCTTAAGCCTCTACATTATCTCATCCACACCTAATCTGACAGCAGCTCCCACAGCAACCCTCCTTTCTACGTCTTTTCAGAACCTTCATCTCGAGTTGGCTCAAAGCAACTCACTTCTCACACTTCTCCCTTGGCTAACGTGAAATGTGCGCTGTTCGGTTAATTCAGTCCTTCGTAAGACTGGGCAGCTCAGAGCGAGGAGAACCAAGAACAAATCAAGGGATTCTTGGTAAAATGGCAGATCACCGGGTGAGGTGGGGGGACAAATGTAGCAAATAGCAGCCCAGCCAGAGGAGACCCAGACCCTGGGCAGCTTTTAGGGGGCTAATATAACAGAGAAGTGGACCCACAAATTCAGTTGAGAACAGATAAGAGAGCAGTGATTATAACTTATTGGGGTGTGGGAAAGAACGCTGGCTTCCGACTTCTTTTAATTCCACCACCAAAGTGCCAAAGTGGGGACCAGAAAGAGACTCACTGGTACAGTCTGGGTCTTCACGTCCACTCCATGACTTCCTCCCCGTGTGACCTTGAACCATCCAAAGTCAAAATGGGAATATTAACAATCTTTCCAAGCTCCTGAAGTGAGAGGGATGTTACAGAGAAGGGGAGGAAGTGCCTGATAGGTGCTATTGTCTCCATCCCTGACATTGTCTGCACCTCCTTTAGTTTACTGAGTCCTGAGAGATGCCTTGTCTCTGTCCTCACTTCCCTCCCACACTAATATTCCTGGAGTATGCAGATGTAGTTCAGTCTATAAAGTCCTGGTTATACAAGCATGAGCACTAGCTTTTGACCCCAGCACCCACTTAAAAGAAAAAAAATAAATAAATAAAGCCAGTTCGTAAAGCAGTATGTGCCAGTAACTCCAGTACTGAGGAGGTGGAGACAGGAGAAAGCCAGGGCTGTGATGGCCAACCAGTCCAGCTGACACAGAGAGCCCTGAATTCAGTGAAAGAACCTGTCTCACTGGGAGAGTAAGGTGGGGAGCCGTGAAGGAAGACACCGATGTTGACCTCTGACCTCCACATGTGGTGGTTAGTGTCTTGTACATATGTGTTTCCCTTTTGTGAAATAGAGCTTACAAACCCTTCAGATCCTTAAATCCTTAAAAATCCTGAGACTTGCCATTTCCCTTGCTTACATTTGTTAGTTGTTTTTTTTCCTTTGAATTTGAAGGAAAATGAAAAAAAATCACGTGCTTTTACAAGCATGCACACGCACACACATATACATACACAGAGAGACTCATACACTCAAACACACACACACAGAGACTCTCACACATTCACTCAGCACACACACACACACACACACACACACACACACACACACACACACACACACTGTTAGGACCCTCCGCTCTACACAAGCAGGAGGTCAGACTACAGCACCCTTTCTGGTTCAAGGCAACATGCTTCAATTTTAATTGCAAATCTCTGGGACTCTTCTATGAATTACATTTGGTTTTTAAAGGCAGAGGAGTGCAGAAGTCAGGAGATCATTTACAGAAGACATTTCCTAATGCACATAACCAGGTCTTATGGTAATCAAACCAAGGCTGCTCCAAACTGCTCAGAAATCTGAGGTCAGCTCTAAATCTCAGTGGTTCTGATGTTTGCGGTTTGTAGAATTCCTGAGCTGGAGTCCCACAGGAAAGCAGGCTCTTGGTGTTTTATTTTGGCAGAAACAGAGAGGGGCTCAGCAATTTGTCCAGTGAAAGATGTTTGGTTGTAGCAAGTTGTAATGAAATATGCATAATATGTACTTAATAGAAACCAACACCTCCACTGGAAAAAAGGGGACTGCTTCCAAATCAAGAAGTGCATGCCTGAAATGCAAAGGAAAGGAAGTTACCTTCACTGCTTGTGTCTGTGTCTAAAATGGTCTAAAATCAAAGAAAATGGTCACTGATAGAGGGAGGAAAAAAAAACTTCATCAGATTTTATCTTAAATTGCTAGTGGCATTTTCTGACTCATGGGTGGGTTTGTGGTCCTGGAGAGGTGCCTAGACATTGTAATTCCCAAGAATTATAATTAACAAGAAAAAAAATCACTCATTTATTTACATTCCCATTTGAACAGCAGATAAATTATTTGCTGAAAGCCCCTTAATGATTTCAAAGTACGTAATTATCTAGCACATTGGTTCTACTTTCAGGGGGTAGAAACTATTGCAAAATGACCCCCCCCCAAATAACCCTCTTCTCTGACAACTCTTACTAGACATATCTTTTATGGCTTTTAAAAGTTATATTGGTTTTTTTTCAATATCAAAATATTTTATGCAAAATATTTCATTTTTAAAAAAAATTCTCTCTCTCTCTTGGGAGATCGTACGTGCGATTGTTAAAGACACACTGCAGATTGCAATAAATTCTGAAATTAACACTGAATATATTTTCATATTATGTTTACATATGGGTAGGTTTTTTTTAGACTCCCTATCTTTTTTAGATTTATGAGATTCTCTACAATAAGATTTTGTGTGAGTATATTTAAATTTCATATGTGTATATATTTATATACACAGAGAACAAGATTACATACTTGCTTTAATTTCTCCCAGTCTTAAAAGCTCATAAAATATTTAAGCAGTTTCTGAACCAGAATAGAAATGCCTCAAACTGTTGTTTAAAATGATACCCAACCTTCACCTTCCCATGCTAATGAGCGGGGCAGCTGGAACCAGGAGGGGTATCAATCAAAGGAGTCGATGCTTACCCTACTCTCTGCCCACCCCTCCCCCTCCTCATCCTCTGACCTTACTCCAGCTGTTTAGCAAATGACTCACTGGTCTCTCACTGCCTATCATCTCACCCTGAAACCTCTAGCCTAAAGGGTGGGAAGAGTGACTGTCTGGCCTACTGGCGCACAGCTGGAGGTCAGCAGATTCAGAGGGTAACCTGGCTCCTTCCTTCCTTCCTTCATTCATTCATCTAACAAACACTGACTGGGAACTTAGTACACAGGCATGCCCTAGGGCCCAGGTCTAGGATGATGTACAGGTCCAAGGTTTTCTCTTCTCTTATGGAATCTGAGTCTCCAGAGAGGGTTGCTGACACACACAAGACGTTGGAAATCACAGAGCCTCGAGAAAAACGTGTGCTACAGCGGCTATCCCGACGCAGGGTCCCACTGTGCTCTTTGCTGTTGCTTGGAGTGAGCTAAGACTATCACCCGCCATGAGGTGACCCTTTTGCTCAGGAGAGCAGATAGCAGATTCAAACACAAAGGGCGCTAAGTTTGAGAAACAGCCCGTGTGGAGGCCCTGCTCGGAGAAGGGGCCTAGGATACTGAGGCGAAGAGGTGGCCGGTGCCACCTAGAGCTCAGGCTCTGCTGGGATGGACATCGGAAAGATGGGCAGAGACACTATTGTGCCAAGGTATTTTTTATGTGACCCTTGTCGCTATTGAAGGGCTAAAGTGACATGGACTGGGTGGGGACATATCCCCCCCTCTGATCCACAGAGATTGTTTGGCCACCTGTGTAGACATGGGGGACATAAGTTATCAATTTAGAGGCCACTGGACCATTGAAGATGACAGATGGTGGCTGTGGTAATGTAAACGAGAAATGTCCCCCACAGTCTCACATATTAGAACACTTGGTCCCTGTGGGTTGTGCTGTCTGGGGAAATTGTAGAAGTTTTTAGGATGTGGACCCTTCTGGAAGAAGTAGGTCTTATGGGGTAGGGATGGGCTTTGAGAGTTTATAGCCATATCCCATTGGATCGTGGCAAAGGGGAATCTTGATGCGTGAATCAATTTCCAGACTTGAGTCAGTTTACAGACCTAGAACTCCTTGAATGAAGAGACATTCCCCTGAGGAAGGACCTTGACAAAATATCTAAAGGTTTTACTGTTAGCCTTTCCCAGTCCTTCCCCAGAGAGACCTACGGCCTTTTACAAAGGTAACAACAGTACACTGGGAGAAGGAAACAATCAGACTTTCCAGGGTCTATTAGATACTGGGTCTGAATTGATGCTGATTCTGGGAGACCCCAAGAAACACTGTGGCCCTCCAGTTAAAGTAGGGGCTGATGGAGGTCAGGTGATTAAGGGAGTTCTGGCTGAAGTCTGACTCACAGTAGGTCCAGTAGGTCCCTGAACTCACCCTGTGGTTATTTTCCCAGTCCCAGAGTGCATAATTGGGATAGATATACTTAGAAGTTGGCAGAATTCTCACATTGGGTCCCTGGCCTGTGGAATGAGGGCTATTATGGTTGGAAAGACTAAATGGCCTTTATTAGAGTTGCCTCTGGCCGGGAAAATAGTGAACCAAAAACAGTATGGCATCCCTGGAGGAACTGCAGAAACAGTGCCACCATCAAGGACTTGAAAGATGCAGGGGTGGCAGTTCCCATCACATCTCCCTTTAACTCTCCTATCCAGTCCAGAAGTCAGATGGATTGTCAAAAATGACAGCTGATTATCGAAAACTCAATCAAATAGTGATTCCAATTACAGCTGCTGTACCAGATGTGGTATTTGAGCAGATTAACACATCTCCTGGTACATGCTACATGGCTATTGATCTAGCAAGTACCTTTTTCTCAGTACCTGTCCATAAAGACCACCAGAAGCAATTTGCTTTCAGTTAGCAAGGCCTGCAGTATACTTTTACCATTTCATCTCAAAGATATATTAACTCTCTAGTCCTGTGTCATAACTTAGTTATAAGGGGTCTTGACCATATGTCCCTTCCACAAAATATCACATTAGTTCACTATATTGATGACTTTATGATGATTGGACCAAGTGATCAGGAGGTAGCAACCACTTTGGACTTGATGGTAACACATATGTGCATTAGAGGATGGGAAATAAATCCAACCAAAATTCAAGGACCTAGCTTTGAGTAGGGCCTGAAACAGAAGAAAGCTCTTCAACAGGTCCAGGCTGCTGGGCGGGCTGCTCTACCACTTGGACCATATGCTCCAGCAGACCAGATGGTACTTGTGTAAGTAGAAGATAGGGAGGCTGTTTGGAGCCTTTGGCAGGCCCCTACCCTATAGGATCACAGAAGAGACCTTTGGGATTCTGGAGCAAGACTCTACCATCACATGCAGACAACTATTCTCCCTTTGAGAGACAGTTCTTGACCTGCTACTGGGCCTCAGTGGAAACTAAATGTTTGGCAATGGGTCACCAAGTTATCATGTGACCTGAGCTGCCCATCATAAGCTGGGTGTTATGTGTCCCACCAAGTCATAAAGTAGGACGTGCACAGTAGCAACCCATTAACAAATGGAAGTGGTATATCTGTGATTGGGCCTGGAGCAGGTCCTAAAGGCAAAAGAAAACCACATGAAGAAGTTACCCAAATGCCTATGGTTTTTACTCCCGTTACAAAGCCGTCTGCCACCAAGCATGCACCTAGAGCCTCAAAGGGTGTACCCTGTGACCATTGACTGAGAACGAGAAGACCAGGGCATAATTTACTGATGGTTCTGCACATTATGCAGGCACCACTCAGAAGTGGACAGCTGCAGCATTACAACTCCTTCCTGGGACAACTCTGAAAGACAGCAGCAAAGGGAAACCTTCACAGTGAGCAGAACTTGGAGCAGTACACATGGTATTAGAGTCTGTTTGGAAGGAGAAGTGGCCAGATGTGTGATTATTCACTGACTCATGAGCTGTAGCCAATGGGTTGACTGGATGGTCAGAGACTAGGAAAGAGCATGATTGGAACATTGGTGAGAAAGACGTCTGGGGAAGAAGTATGTAAATAAATCTCTTCAAATGGGTGAAGGATTTGAGGACACCATGTCCCATGTAAATGCTCATCAAAATGTGTCTTCAGATGAGGAGTAATAATAATCAGTTGTCCAATAATAATATTCAAAATGTAATAATAATCAAAATGCCCAATCAGAGATAGGACAGTCAGACTCTTTCCCTAGCCATTCATATCATTGTCCGATAGGCCCATGAACAAAGTGGCCATTGTTGCAGAACCAGAGTTATCAATTAGCTTGACAACATGGGCTGACAGTCACCAAGGCTGACCTGGCTACATCTGCTGCTGAGTGCCAGATCTGCCAACAGCAGAGATCAACACTGAGCCCCCAGACATGGCACCATTTCTCGGGTGACCAGTCAGCAATCTGGTGGTGGGTTGATTACCCTGGACCACTTCCTCCACGGAAGGGACAATGCTTTGTCCTTACGGGAACAGACACTTATTCTGGTTATGGATTTGCCTTTCTGTGTGTAATGCTTCTGCCAAAGCCACCATCTGTAGACTTACAGAATGACTTATCCACCATCATGGTATTCCACACAGTATGGCTTCAGACCAAGGAACTCACTTCACAGCCAGAGACGTGCGACACTGGGCCCATGATCATGGAATCCACTGTCTTACCATGCTCCCTACCATCCTGTAGCAGCCAGCCTGATAGAAAGATAGAATGGCCTTTTAAAGACACAGACACAGTTACAGTGCCATTTAGGTGGCAGCAGCCTGAAGGGCTGAGACAGGGTCCTCCAGAAGGTGGTATATGCATGGGATCAGCATCCAGCATATGGTACAGTTTCTCCCATAGTCAGGATCGTGGGTCCAGGAATGAAGGGTGGAAAAGGGAATAGTTCCACTCACTGTCACCCTTAGGGACCCACTAATGAAATTTTCCTTCCTGTTCCTGTGACCTTACGTTATGCTGGCCTAGAAGTTTGGGTTCCAGAGTGGGAAGTGTTCTCGCCAGAAGACACAACAAACATTCCATTGAACAAGAAGCTCAGACTTCCCTCTGGCCACTTTGGGCTTCTCATGCCCTTATAGGCTAAGAAAGAAATAACAGTGTTAGGATGGGTGATTGATCTGTATTACCGAGGGGAAATTGGATTGCTTCTCCATAATAGAGGTAAGAAAGAAAATGTCTGGAGTGCAGGAGATCCTTTAGGGCATCTCTTGGTGCTACCATGCCCTGTGACTAAAGTCAACAAAAAACTGTAACAGCCTAATCCAGGCAAGATGATAAAGGGCACAGACCTGTCAGGAATGAAGGTGTGGGTCACTCCTCCCGAAAACGAGCCAAGACCTGCAGAGGTGCTTGCTGATGGTGGAGGAAATACAGAATGGGTAGTAGAGAAAGGTAGTTAAAAATACCAGCTAAAGCCATGTGACAATTGCAAAAACATGGATTATAATTGAGATGCATGTTTCTGTCATATTTTGTTAAGAATCTATTTGGACAGATACTTGTGTTTTCTTTCCTCAACTTCTTTATCATGCAATGTAATGTCAATTAAGAGAATATCAGTGGTTATCATATTTAAGTTTGAGCTAATAAAAGGATGTCCTTCAAGGGCCATTGCCACCTATTCTAAATTTGTAATGTGTTTGTGGCTGTATGAGGGATAGTTATATCATATTAGCTGTAATTATGACCTGGTTAAATATATAATGCATTTACTATTATGTGGGATAGTTATACCATGTTAGGAATAATTATGACCTGGTTATTGTTTTCATTTGAAAATTAAACATGACATAAGGAAATACAATTGTGAGTCACGCTGACAAAGGATGGACTTGTGATGGCCATTCTTGGTTGTCACCTTGGCTACATCTGGGATTAACTAAAATCCAAATGTCTGGGCACACCTGTGAGAGATTTTTTTCTTAAATAAGTCCTTTGAAATGGGAAGACCCACTTCTGATTCGAATCTTTGAGGTGGAGAGATTCTCCTTTAATCTGGGCCACACAGTCTATATAAAGGACACGGAAGAAGGAGGCTTGCTCTTGCTCTTGCTAGTACATCCATTCCTTCACTGGCATTAGAGCCTACTTCTTCAGGATTACTGTAGATCAGCTGAGACATCCATCGTGGACTGAACAACATTCATTGCATTCTTGGACCTTCCTTGTTAGTAGATAGCCATTGTTGGACTAGCTGGACCACAGCCTGTAAGCCACTCTAATAAATCTCCTATAGATATATAGATACATTCTATAAGTTCTGTTCCTCTTGAAAACCCTAATGTCTCCCAATCCCAAGTAACTCTATCAGCTTCACATCTGGGATTGAAGACATGTTTTCCCAGCTTCCTGCTTGGCTGTCTGTTGTCACGCCTCCCCTGCCATCATGGACTCTCCCTCTGGAACCATAAGCCAAAATAAACTCTTTTCTTCTGTAAATTGCCTTGGTCATGGTGTGTTATCACATCAAGACAAAGTAACTAATACAGAATTCTAAAGTGAGACTGGGAGAGTTGGGAAGAACCCTCTCTTTAGGAAAGGCCCCTTGGGCACAGATAACCTCTGCTGTTGATAATTCAACACTCTTACAAGGCAGAAGATAGTTGTGATATGTATACTTCATCGTTCACATCTGTGATGGGCTCAGTCATGTCTCCACTAAATCAATGTGTTTAAGCATCTCTGAATATGACTGTACAATAGGCCTCCTTATCTAGGGGTACGCATTCCAGGACCCCTAGTAGATTCCCAGCTTTCATAGAACCCTACATATGCTAGGTTGCTTCCTATACACACATCCCTATGAAATTTAATGTGCAAGTTAGACATAGTACAAAATGAGCAGTAGTAGTAAAATAAAACAAGAGCAGTATATTAGAATAGGTTATTGTCAACATCATTACTGTAGTATGTTTAGCCAGTATTTAGTAAAATGAGGTTTACTTGAACATAACATTGCAGTGTGCTAGCCATCAGCTGGTTAATCAAGAGAGCCCCTGAGTAACTAACAGGTGGGTAGCACGTACTACATCGACACCTGGACAGAGACAATACAATCATGAGAGTGTGCTGATGGAGGCCTACGTATCCAGAGTGCAGGCAACTGGATTTCCTTAGTCAGCAATGAAAATGCCAAATAAGTCTGCCCCTGGGAATTGGGTGACAAGTCATCTGGCATTGCTGTAGACAAAAATATTAACTAGAAGGAACTACAAGGACAGCCTGGCATGACTCCAAGCCTTGAGGAAGACCCCAAGGTAGCACAGTAATCACCCTGACACAGAAACTTTGCAGATGTGCCCATCTGTTCCAGTGGACAGAGGTCTGAGTGGAGAATATGGGATGGGCACCAATGACTAAGACACAACTGTGCTCTCATATTTTGTTCTCCTTCCCATCCCTCCATGCAGCCATCATTTCTCTGGCCCTTCTGCTGCTCAGATTACACTGCAGCAATCGGACACCTCCCCCTAAAGTCACCTCGGGCTTATCCTTTACCAAGCATCATATTTGGTTTGGGTTTTTTATTGCAGGTGAAAACTTACATGCAATAAAAAGAATAAACCTTTAAGGAGTGTTAAATGGTCCACTGAAGTTCAATTACCAAACAATAAAGAACATGTGTAAATATTCACCATGATACATTTTTATATGGGCACACGCTCATGAGGCCACATACCATGGCCAGGATGATGACTCCCCACAGGGGCCACTTCCTCTCTGTACTCCCCTGGCAATCATTTATCTGCTTTCGTCACTGTCGATTAGTTTGTGTTTTCTAGAATTTTATGACGTGTGTTTGTGCTTTCTTTGGTATGCTTTTCCCGTACACGTACCCATCAGGCTAAAGAAATGCAGCATATTGTTTTAAAGTTAAAAATATTTGAATTTTTTGAGTTTTTTTTTATTCTCAGTCTTTATTAGTTCATTAAGAACCTCACATAATGTGTTTTGATTCCATTCATATCTCTCAATCCCTCCCAGACCCACCCCTTCCCACTTCCCTCACCCATCCAACTTTTTCTCCTTGTATATTTTCAAACCCACCAAGTCTGATTTGTTCTGTCCATATACTCCTGGGCACGCGACCTTCCACTGGAGTATGGTTGACCTACCGGGGTCACATCCTAGCAGCCAGCTGACTCTTCTGGCCCCAGCAGGCATTAGCCATCATAACTTCTTAGCTAGGCGTGGAACTTCATGCCTAACTCCCCTTCCACGCTCGGATTTCGTCCCACTTGAGTTTGCACGCACCTTGTACATGCTGTCACAAGCACTGTGAAGTCACACGTGCGCACACCTGCCCTGCTGGACCCAGAAAACCGTTTCCTTGCAGAGAAACAGCCCAGCACCTGGTCCTTACAGTCTTTTCATCCTTTCTTCCACAATAATCCCTGTGCCTTAGGATGAGGGGTGTGATAATGGCATCCTGTTTACAGCTGAGAGCTCTGTGACCTCTCATTCTCGGCATCTTGACCAGCTGTGGGTCTCTGTGTTAATCACCATCTGAACTTCAAGTTCAATGTATCACTGTTTCAAATCTGGATACAGTGTAGCGAGTCAAATAAACTCACAGATGAAATATCAAATTATTTTGAAATTGTTTTTATATATACCACCAATACCACAATTGTATGATGACTTTTGTTTAAGCATTCAATTGTCTTATGAAAGAGACTTAAATCATAAGCAACCTATAACCGGCCTATGTAAATATGAAAGTCCTTATAGTTTCCTGAGCTACTCAGCCCTGTGGGCAGTTCCGGGCTTCCATGTTCCCACCTGCCCCGCTTCTTCTCTGAGAACCCCCACTTCCCAGATGCTAGAAGTGAGTGCCCATAGCTCGCTGGTGCTCTGGCAATTTTTTTAAATTCTCTTTTTGTTTGTGTGTGTGATTTTCATTTGTGGTTTAGGGTTTGGGGGGATTGTAGTTTTTATTGCTATGTCTTCAAATTCTCTTGCCCTTTTCTTATACAGATGCCGAATCTCACATAGTAATCTCATTGAGCACAATTGTGTCTTCAACATTGTAGCTTTTATCTTTCATTTCCAGAGGGTCAGTTTGGGTCCTTGTATACCTCCATCATTCCATTGAACACCTTGGCTGTATGAAATATAGCTATAATAATTCCATTTTATTTTATCTTAGTGGGGTGTGTGTGTGTGTGTGTGTGTGTGTGTGTGTGTGTGTGTATGTGTGTGTGTTATATGTGTGGGAGTTGTATGCATATTCTTGCCCAGGTGTATATGATGGCCAGAAGTTGATATTAAAATGCTCTTTTCAATAACTCTGCACCTTGGTTTTTTTACTAAAAAAAAATTGTAATGAAAATATAATTATATCTTTTACCCCCTTCCCTGTCCTCCATCCTACCCCTCACATGCCCATGCCACTCTCTCAAACTGATGGCCTCTCTTTGGTCATTATTATCTTCTGGATTCCTCAAACACCTGCCCACACATGCCCATGCACATACAAATGCAAAGAGTCTCCAGGCTCACAAAAGCAAAGCAAGAGCCCAGTTCCCTCCACTGTGTTTGCAAACACAGGTGTCACCGGTCACTCTGTGGAAGACCATGGGACACACCTTCTAAACCCATTCATTCCAAATCCTTTCAGCTTCCACCAAAGCAGAACGGACACTGTAATGCATCCCAGCGTGCTGTGATTGGCTTTAACAATCACCAGCACACCGCACCCTAGTTTGACTTACCCCCTCCTCTGTGCGTTTGCTGCTGATTCTGAAGACTGGCACCCAAGCCTGGGCTCGTGCTAGGCAAGTGTTCTACCACTGATTCCCATGCCCAGACCTTGTTTCTTTGAGTCTCTGTCTCCTTGTATAGGCTAGGCTTTCCTTTGACTCATAATCCTCATCCTCTGGCTTTGAATTTGTGATGGATTCCCCAGCCTCCACCTCCAGAGCGCTGGGAGTTCAGGTGTGCATCACCATGCCGGGCCCTGACCTCGTTTTAGCTATGCTGTTTTAAAACAAATCCCAGACGTCATGTCAATTTGGCCATCTCTGCACTGCTGTTTGCACAGACTGGCTGGAGGTGCCTGCTTGGGGTCCTGATTTGACTTTAAACATAGGAACATGAGTCTTAGTGAAACGTGGTCCAGACCCAACTTTGTCCAGATTAGAGATATAATTTTAACCCAACAGCTTTGTTCAGCTTTGTTTGAACGACAAGTGCTATGTCTTGTTAATGCTGCCCCATAAAACCAATTCTCAGCCTTGGTTTCTCCAAATAGGAAGGAAAGCCGTAGACCCACAAATTCTTATTTAAAAAGCATATCCAAAAGCTCATTTGAACACTGGGGCTTCCTTGCTTTGCTGTAAGAGTGGCTAATGTTGCTACTCCTGGTGCCTCCATACACAATGGAAATTTTTTCATCTTATAAGATTTTTTCTTTTACTAATTCTTTGAGAATTTTCTATAACGTGTTTTTATCATATTCACTCCCTCTTGCCCAACCCACCCCAGATCCACTCACCTTCCCCATCCACCCAACTTTGGGCCTTTTTTATTTTTTAAACCCACTGAGTCTCATTTGCCCTGCCCATATACTCTTGGATGAGTTCTCATGCACAGGAGCATGGTCAACTTACCATTGGCTACATCCTTAAAAAGAAACCGATTCTCTCTCTCCCAGCAGCCACCAAATGTCAACGGCTTTTTAGCATGGGGAGGGGCTTCCTGCCTACTTCCCCTCTCCATCTAGTGTGAGCTCTCCTGGGTCTTATGGAGAATTTAGATGATAGGAAGGGCAGAACATTTCATACTTAGTGTGAGTAGCACACTAAGAAGACTACATCTCTCACAGTGTACACAACTGAAGACTTGACCAAATGTCTCTCTTCCTAATTGCAGAAAGTCAAAACCTCAGCCCATTGGCCAGTGGTTGTCATTGCTGTGTGTTAGGCTAGACATGTGTGTTGTGGGTCTTAACGTTTTATTTTAATTGATGCATCAAAGCCGTGCACGTCAATGGCTACTGTGCGTGTGTACATGCGTATGTACACTGTGTGATGTTCAAATCAGATTCAATGTATCAAGCTCAGTAGTCACAGGTCATTTTCTTCGCAGTGACATTGAATGATGCGTCACTGCACCTCTGGCTTCTATACACCCTATCTCACATTCTCGGGGGACACAACCCAAACTCTCCACATATCCCCATATTGAGAGAGGGTATTAGAATCAATCTTGGTGAAGAACCTCCCATTGCAGAGTATCATCTTCTGAGCAGTATCCAGACAGTGTCCTGGATGAGTGTCCATCTTTCAAGCTCTCAGTCTCCTAGCCTGTGAAACAATGTTGAATATAAAGAAAAGGATTGTATATGTGTGGACACACCCTATAAAGCAGTGGTTCTCAACCTCCCTGATGCTGTGACTCTTCAATACAATTCCTCATCTTGTGGTTACCTCCAACCATAATTTTGCTACTTCATAACTGTAATTTTGCCACTGTCATAAATCGTAATGCAAATGATTTTGGAAATAGATGTTTGTCAAAGGGGTTATGACACACAGGTTGGGAACCACTGCTCTAGAGGCTAAACGCTAAACAATTGTGGAAGCTCTGTGTTCTGGTTGGGTTTTGTCAACTTGGTACAAAACCAGACATATCTGGAAAAAGGAAACCTCAGTTGAGAAGATGCCCCCATCATAGGCTTGTGGGCATGTCTATGGGTATTTTCATGATTAATGATTGACATGCAAGAACACATTCCACTGTGGGTACTACTGTGGGTAGGTGGTCCTGGGGTATATAAGAAAGTAGGCTGAGAAAGCCATAAGGAGCATGTAAGCAACATTCCTCCATGGCTTCTGCTTCAGTTCCTGCCTCCAGGTTCCTGGTCTTAAGTTCTTGCCCTGATCTCCCTTCATGATGGATTGTAAGCTGTAAGGTGAAGTAAACTTCCTACCTCACACTGCCTTTGATCAAGCAAATTAGGACATTCTCTGTGAGAGAGGTACCTCTCAGAGCAACCATGCATGAGAAAGAAGCAGGAAGTCCTACATCTGATGTGCACATGGCAAAGAGAAGTGACAGATTTGGTGTGTGCCACTAAGCAGCAGTCCAGGAACTCAGGGCCTCAGCTGTGAAAGCTGCATTTTCCACCTTTCAGGAGCCATCAAAGATGGTATGCAAGTACCCGGGCATGTAACTCTCTCCAGCTCAGTGCCTGGCACACAGTAGGTGATCACCAGCCCAATAGTGAAGAGGGGGGTCAAAAACATTAGATGGTATAAATGTTTAGCAGCCTTAAAAAGGAAGGTATACTCATGTCATTTATATAAAACATGTTGGCAGGAGATAGGACTAGGTCACAAGCAGTCATTTCAAAGCCAAAGAGATTTGTATGTAGGGACCGTGTCTGCAGCCAGGTTTCTCTGGTTCCACCTGGCTCTAAGGTCCCACAGTAACTTATAAAATCATCACTCAAATGCTTATATTATTTACAAACTGGATGGCCTATGTCTCAAGCTTATTGCTAGCTAGCTCTTATAACTAAACTCAGCCCATTTCTAGTCATCTATATTTGTTAAAATAATGATTAGTTTATATTCCAACAATATTTGTTAAAATAATGATTAGTGTATATTCATGGTGACTGTCCAGTGGTCATCATTAACTTAGAAATGAGTGAAGAAGTGGGAAGGGGAGGGGAGAATCCAGTTTAATCATCCATCCTGAAGAAGAGGAAAGTTCCCAGTAATGACAGGGTATAAGCAAGCAGCAGCATCACCTGGGATATGAGACACTTGGACTCGAGAACAATAGCATTCAAAGTGATCAAAACAGGCTTGAGTGTGGCGCAGATTTTAACCCTAAGCCATGGGAAGTCTGGAGATACAAGTAATAAAAGGAATCCCACTCCATCTCAGAGGCCTCTCCTGTCTGCCTCATGTGGTCCCTCTGCTCCATTTGGGGACTTTATGGTGTCCCCTGCAAGCCCAGCCTTGCACTTCCCTGCAGTCGTCTCTATATAACCTCTTGGAACCTGTGGTTATTCACACATTACCAAGGAGATTGGTCTTCTGAAGTGGGAGCCACCTCTATAAGGCTGTAAATACCAAGCAATTAGCCGTTTAAGTGCTGTATTATAAATGTATGCGGGGCACCTAGGTGGCCTCACATATTGGAGGAGGGCAACTCAAGAGAGGGGGACTGTTCAAGATTGACTTTCTTTGAGATAGTGAGGTGGGAGGGGTAGAAGGCCATAAACAGTGAACCACCTTCCAGTCAGCAAAGCTGGACCTTGTTTTCATTACCTTATCCATTCTCCAAACCCCTGGTTTGGTGCAGGTCCCTGTGTGGTATATGGTTATCAGAAGTGTGTTGTTCAGACTCAGAGAGGATAAGTAACGAAAAGGACTCTAGCGGGGACACATGGGTCTCTCTGGGAAGGGGAAATAGATTTTATAGGTGGACTAAGGGTGGGTGGTGATGGGAACTAGAAGGATCAGATTGCGGGGGGGGGGGGGGCAGACAGAGAAAGAAAGTACTGGGAGAGACAAATGGAATAGGGGGGCATTTGAGACACAATGTGGAAATGTAGTACAGTGGAAGCTCCCTGGAACCTTTGAGGGTCATCCTAATGAGGACTCCTAGTAATGGAGGATAAGGAGCCTGAACCAGCCATTTTCTGTAACCAGGCAAGGCTTCCATTCGTGGGCCTGGGACACCAACCCAGCCACAAAACCTTAGACTCACACCTGTCCTGCCTGCAAGATGTGCTGGGGCAATGGTGGCACAGAACTTGTGGGAGTGGCGAACTAATGACTGGTCTAAGCTGAGGCCCAAGCCATGACAGGGGGCCCCATACCCAACACTGCCTGGATGGCCAGGAGCCAGAACCTGGGTTGCTCAAAGACCTGCGGTAAAACCAAACACAACTGACAAAAATAACAACAAGAAGTCAATGAAATGATTCCTAACAACATTCTGCTACACTCATAGATCAGTACCTAGCCCAATCATCATCAGAGACTTTCTCTGGTGGCTGATGGGAGCAGATTCAAAGACCCACATTCAAACATTGGGCAGAGCTCAGGGAACCCTGAAAGAGAAGGGTGGGAAGGGTTGTAGGAGCCAGAGGGGTTGAGGACCCCAGGCGAACATGGCCCACAGAATCAACTAAGCAGGGCTCATCAGGGCTTACAGAGACTGAAGGGGCGATCAGGGAGCCTGCATGGGTCTGTGCTAGATCCTCTGCATACATGCTGTGGTCGTATGGCTGAGAGTTTTGTGGGACTCCTAACAGCGGGAGTGGGGGTGTCTCTGACTCTTTTGCCTGCTCTTAAGACCCTTTTTCTCCTGCTGGGAGGCCTCATCCAGCCTTGATATGAGGGTTTGTGCCTAGTCTTATTGCATCTTGTTGTGCTGTGTTCAGTTGATACTGCTGGGAGGCCTGCTCTTTTCTGAAGAGACAAAGAGGAGCAGTGGATCTGGGGGAGATGGAAGGGGGGGTAGTGAGAGGAGTGGAGGGAGGGGAAGTTGTGATTGGGATATATTGTATGAGAGAAGAATAAATAAAAAGAAAAAAGAAACTATACTTTTAAAAAAGAAATAAATATGTTGTGATAGGAGAGTTGATGGGACAGCACAGGGGGAGATTAAGCTGGCAATTGCCTGCTGTTATTGACAGGGCTTGTGCCACCCAGACAGGCTATAAGCTAGACATTCTCCTGTCTTGCATCCTGAGTGCTGGGATCATAGATGTATACCACCATGCTCACAAATTATAGGTAAATAAGGGAGTGGAGAAATGGCTAAGTGGCAAAGATCACTGGCTACTTTTGCAGAGGACACAGATTCTATTCCCAGCATCCATAGGGTAGCTCACAACCATCTGTAACTCCAATTCCAGGGGATTCAACACCCTCTTCTGGCCTCCACAGGCATCATGTGCACATGATGTACATATATAACATACAGGCAAAACATTCATATGTATAAATAAATCTTTAAAAAGCAGACAAGTGGATAAATAAATGTAAATGTTATTCCACCTTCAGAAATTCACATTATAGAAATGAAAGGAGACATAGACAAGGATTATATGTGCCACAATGCATGGTTAATCCATAGTTGGCTGTGGTTGAAGTCCCCCAAACCATTCCACAGGTGAGCAAAATTAGTGAATATGTATCAGATAGATCCATGGGAACACTAAGGCAGTTGAAGCCAGAGTTAACCTGCCCCATCTTAAAAAATTACCAAAGAAATAAGTGTCAGAGGACAGCTATGATTTTTTCCACACTTGAAAAACAAAAAACTAACATAGCAAAAGTGAAAAAGAGAGGTGGGGGCAAAGATGGGGGAGGAGGAGAGCCAGGCAGATGCCCCTGTTCTTAGCAAAAATCTTCCCCTCCCTTTTTCCCAAGGCAGAGCCCAAATTCCTTTGGTTGGTTCTATCAGTCCCAAATCCCTTGAGACAGACTCTTCATGCTCCATACAAGCAAAGGCTGACTGAATTGTTTACACAGAGGCTAAAAGAAGCCAAGAAATAAAACAAGAATAAAGGAGTCAGAGGTTAGTCATGACAGAAACCATCCTCTCATACTTATCCTGCCCTGGAACAGAGAGAAGGCACAGTTACTGAGCCCAGAGTCAAAGCCCACAGTGAGAGGAAGAGCAAAGAGTGAATGTTGTCTGGGTTTATTATGCCTCAGGCAATGCTTAACAATAACAATGACAATGGATGACTATAATACAGAAATTACAAATGAAAGTAGCCATATTATTGCTAAATGGGCATTTTAAACATAATTCTTAATATTTCATTTATTACACAGTTTTCACTGCTATTTAGCATTTTTACTGGCTTCATTTAATTGAACTGTCAACCATAACAATCTGAAGTTGGAATGGTTTCTTCATTGTTTTTCCAAGAAGATAAAGCTGAGACTCTAGGGATAAAATAATTTGCCCAGGGTCACATACCCAACCTCCCCCATCCAGACTAACCCAACTCTAAGACTCTACTGTGCTTGGATTTGGATTTGGAATCAAGAAGTCTAGGTTTAGTCCAGATATGTTAAGCAAACTTCTAAGCTCTGCCGTGACACTGCTGCTCTCTGGAGGTGAGTCGCTGTCTCCTGGCTGTGGCGGCTGGGCTTGTGTGCTTCAACACATGGAGATCAGTGAGCATGACACCAGGTGACTTCATAGGCCCCAAAAGGATGGCCAGCTTCTTCCTCATTCACCAGCACACTGCTGACAGAGGACACTCCATGGGCAGAGCCCCTTGTGTGAGGCAATAAGAGAAAAATTGCTTTAGCTCTCTGGAAGAGGGGCTGGATGGCATTGGCGGGTTTGAACCCATTCTTTATGCTGTCTCTGGAGTGACTTTCCTGAAACAAAAGAGAAACTTCAAAGAGGGTTAAACTACCATTCAATGGGGTCAAAGCCCTGCCCACTTCAGCAAAGCAGCTTCCCTTTAAAAGGGGCTCCTAGTGGTGAGGCAGGAGACTAAGACATAAAATGAGGTCTGCGAAACCTTATGCAGAGGCTGTGAGATTCACATCTATGAGGCTGATAAGCATAGGGAATCATTTAGCCACCAACGGACTCCAATTGGTTTGGTATATGTACATTCTCCTTTTCTGATTATGCACTTGGAAGACTGAGACACTTACCTGGATTACTATAAACACACACACACACACACACACACACACACACACACACACACACACACACACACACACACCTCTAAGCAATATACCCATGTCTTAGTTAGAGTTTCTATATCTGTGATAAGTGCTATGACCCAAAGCACCTTAGGGAGGAAAGGGTTTACTTCAGATTACAGTCATAGTCCATCATGAAGGGAAGTCAGGGAAAGAACTCAGCAAGCACCTAGAGGCAGGAACTGATGCAGAGTCCCATGGAGGATCACTCCTTGCTAACTTGCTACCCATAGCTTACTTGGCCTGCTTTCTTATATAACCCAGGACCACCTACCCAGGGTCACACTGCTCACAGTGAGGTGAGTCCTCCCACATCAATTATTAACCAAGAAAATATGTCCACAGACTTGCCTACAGGTCAAACTTACAGAAACATTTTCTTAGTTAAGATTCCATCTTTCTGGATGCGTCCAGGCTTGTGTCAAGTTGACAAAAACCAACCAGCACAACTGGCCCATTGTCGACTTGACCCATGAATACATCCCTTACTAATCCACAGCTTTTCCTTGCTTGTTCATCCCCAATATCTCAGATTAATATCAATAAAACATTCAAACTTTTAAAAGTCCCATAGTCCTTAAAAATTCCAACACTTTTAAAACTCCAAAGTCACTTTAAGATTCTAAAATCTCTCAGTTGTGGACTCTTATAAAATCAAAAACATGTTACATACTTTCTTACTCCAAGAGGCAGGAACCAGGACACAGTCACAGTCACAGCAAAGCAAAAACCAAAGCCCACACGTGCAAAGAGCTCAGTGCAGGACATCTGAGATTCACTCACAGTCTTCTGGGCTCCAGAAGGCCTAGGCCACTCTACCTCCTTGGGTCTGCCATCCTCACGTGCATGAAGATCTCTGCACAAAGGAACTAGTGTCTCTTTCCCTACTGACAACCAAACAGAGACAAATTCTATTCGATACTCTTTCAGCTGTGTCCAGAAAAGGATGGAAGGATTGATGCACTCTGAACTGGCTTTGGGTACATGCGCAGTAAGGCAAACTGTCCCCTAAGTGAACGTCTATGGAATGGTGGAGACTGTTCTCCAGAAGGAAATAGTACAGCTGCCCCAACAAGAAGGAGAGAGTGGGAGACAGACTAACGACAAACGCTTTCACAGCACTGTTACAAGTGGCTTTAAGCCCAGATATCAAGGGCCACAAAAGTGTCCATAAAATCCCAATACAATAGAAGAAAGTTTAGGGCATTTGCATCATGACATAACTGCAAACTTTATTCATTAATTCCTTCCACAAATGTGTACACAGAGCCCACTCCATCTCAAGCATGCATGAAACCTGAGTTCAGAGAAGGTACTAGAAAGGCATGCTCCGTTGACTCCATTTAGGGGCCATCAAGATGGCTCAGCTGTTAAAGGTGCTTGCCGCCATGCCTAACAACCTAAGTTTGATCCCTAGTATCCACATAGTAGAAAAAGACTTAGTCAAGTCATCCTGTGACTTCTGCACATACGGTGTGATGTTACAAGTGTGCCCAGCCCCCAAATAAAAATAAATATAAAAATGTATTTAAAATGATTGTTTATTGAAAACATGAAAATCAAGAAAGACTCCAGGCTGTGAAGTGAGGAATGAGAAAGATTTCTCTGAGATCACGGCTCAGAAGGGTGGATAGGACTCACACTGAAGGTGGACTACAGTCCCTAAGATACGACCGCCACTGTCACCCAGGATGCCTGTTCCCCTAGGGGTAAGAAGTCAGATCCTGTTCTCATCTCTCAGTTTTGAGACTCATGCATATCTACCTTAATATTGCAAAATCTATATTTGAGTGTTTAAAAAAACTAGGTTGGATGGGAAAATAGGCAAGATATAAAATAGTTACTAATTTTAACACATTTTTTATAATGAAGGCGCTGCTTTGAAAATCTTCTGTTCCCACATATGTGGATGATTTTGCTTGACTTATTAACTTCAGTGGGACTGAAAGATGCACCCCTCCACACACACACACATGCATACACACACACACACACACGCACACACACACGCACACGCATGCCGACAGCTCTCTTGCTCTGGACACAACCCTGCTCAGCTGCCCACTGTGTTGGTATAATCTCAAATGTCGCTGTCTCAGGCCCACTGATTGTTAAGTGTTCAGAAGAGGTGTGAGAAACTGCCTGTTAAGTCCCCTTCTCCTTGTAGCCTCAACCCCCGAGACGGAACAAGGCTTTGCTTAAATGGTCACCCCTGGCACCAGAGAGCAAAAGACCACAGCCCCTGGCAGGTCTGGCTTGCCTGGGAAGCATTTCTCAAGGTCTCATTCAAGCTCCCCATACTTAGTCGGGTCTAACTCTTGTGGTCAGAAGCTGCGACAAAATTATACCAGTGCTCCATGGCAAGAAGGGTAAATTAATTTCAAGATGGATTTTTAACCATCATTTGGATTTCTAGCCCCAAAACTCTGTGGGAAAGTCATCAAAGGAAATCCCGCTGTTCTATGTCTCATCATAAGCAGGCAATCTACCTCCAGCCTCCCCCACTCTGGCCCCCCAGGAAGAGCTCGTGCTGAGTGAATGACAGGTTTGACTGACAGGGCTTGATCGCCATCCATTTCCTCTGCCTCTGAGTCCTGCCTTCCTCTGACATTTTGCTAGAACCTGGAGTTCTGTCAGTCCTTGACCCTGAGGAGCGGGTAGAATTCTAAAGTCAAACAAAGTCCTGGCCAGCTGTTTGTCGGGCTCTGCCGCTGGGCCCATGGTTCGGCACAAAGCATACATTTGAAACGTCTCTGGTTGCATTGAGCAGGGAAGCCATTGCAGCCCCAACCCTAGTCCCTCAGCCTAGCCCTGAAACTGAGGGAGAGGAGACATCCTGGTCAGTGAATCCCTGAGGTCCCTGCTCCTCATCTATGTCCAGGTGAGGACTCTGCTTAAATAACCCATAACTGGCCACTGAGACCAAGGGCTGGATCACTGTGCCCACAATGAGGTCATAGTGTAGCCCTCTATAACGAAGAGAGAATGAACAAGTTAACCAATGAATGGGTGGTTAATATTGGCGGTCAACTTGACAGAGTCTAGAATTGTCACCAAGGAGGCAAACCTGCAGGTGTGTCTGTGAAGGAGTTTCTGGGTGGGGTAAACTAAGTAGAGGGTTCGCTGTCAAGGAGAACGGCACCATCTCATGGGCTGGGGCCCTCCCCTGGGCAAACAGGAGGAAGCCAGACAAACACAAACACTCCTCTCTCTCTGCTTCCCCGCTGCAGCATGGCATGGCCAGCTGCCTTTCACGCCCGCCTCCCGCCATGCCTTCCCTGCAGAGATGGACAGAACCCTCAAACGGTAAACTGAAATAAGCTCTTCCTTAAGAATTGTTTTTGCCAGGAATATCGTCACAGCCACAAGAAAAGCAACTCACACAGAATTCAAAAACAGAAAAGAAGAGGGTGGGAGGCGCCTGGCCCGTTCTCTCGCCTCTCAGTGTCAGGTTCCCGAGTGGAAATGGATTGGACTCAAGTTTCTTTCTGGTTCTGAGTTTAACCAAGGAGACGAGTCCACATCACAGCCATTCATTCACACGTCAAGGCCACTCTGCTCTCTGCTGGTAAAACTGAGGCTGGAGGGAGAGAGGGACTGTACCTCAAGGAATCCTGAGAAGTCCTCACAGACATCAATCCTCAAAGCGAAAACTCTCGAACTCAAGAATCAGAAAAGACTGAACCATCGGCTACTCTCCTGGGCTCAACAGCTTTTGTTGTTGTTGTTGTTGTTGTTATTGTTGTTGTTGCTGCTGCTGTTGTTTGTACTTCTGCCTCCTGGAGATGATTAAAACACCAGGAGGAGGGAAGAGGTCTCTGAGATTGGGTAGAACCTTCAGGTGGCATGTGATGGTGAACCGGGGCTCTGGGGAAGGGGCTTCAAGTTCAAACATGAGCTGGGGACCAGTGGGCTCTGGGGCTGCTGGAACCACGATGGGGCCATGGGGAAGCACAGCCACACAGATGACATAGCCTGCTGGCTCCGGACTTCACGAAGCTGAAAACCCAGGTGTGGGTGCATGTGATCATTCAAAGTACACCAATAAGTTCAGTTTAAAAAAATCTTGGATGAAGAGGCTGGATAGATGGCTCAGCCATTAATAACACTTACCCAGCACCCACGTCAATGGCTCACAATGGCTTGTAACCCTGCCAGGAAGTCTGAAGCTCTCTTCTGGTCTCTGTAGGCACCAGACATGCGCACGGTGCACTTGCATAATGCGTAGGCACTCACACATACACATAAAATGAAAATACATCTTTATATAAAAAATATTGGCACTGGAGGGATGGTTCAGCAGTTAAGAGCACTGACTGTTCTTGTAGAGGTCCCCGGTTTGAATCTCAGTGCCCACGTAACAGCTCACAACCATCTGTAACACCAGTTCCATGGGATCTGCCGCCCTCTTCTGGCCTCTGTGGGCACTGCATGCATGTGGTGTGCAGACATATACACACTCATACACACAAAATTAAAAAAATAAGTATTTTTTAAAAGACCAGATGTTTTAAGTCAGGAGGTCAAGACAAAAACACATCAATGGCTGGATTGATGGCTCACTTGGTCAAGCGGGACAGCCTTTAAGAAGACTGACATCAGACAATCACAGAAGTCTGATGGGGAGTCATGACCCTCAGAAAGGTACTTTTTGATTCAAC